GACTTCGGCGCCATGAAACCCTCCCCCCCACCATCCCGCCCATTCTCGTCCTTCCACGCTTCCACGTAACGAATGTAGTCCCACCACAAGGGAGCCGCGTCCACGAGCACCCCCACTTGCCTCACTCCTAGTTCAAAGGCGGCCGTCACACGCGCGCGTTGCTCCGCCACGGCTTCGGGCGAAGCCCCATCCCCGAGCGAGGCCGGATTTGTTTTTCGGACGCGCGCCACGTAGAGGAGGTACAGGTCCACGGAAGGGACCTCCAAGAGGCATTCCCGAAAGATGTCGTCCACCTGGGCCAGATTCCCCTGCCGCAACTCGTGCTCCAGCCAGTCCTTCCAGAGGCTCACCTTCGTAGGGAACTGGCGCGTAGCCAGACGATAAACATCCCGAAGAGCAATTGCACGCCCCGAGCGCTGGGTCTGCGCTTCGCTCAGGAGAGCAGCCCATGACCGCACGTCCCATTCATGCGCCTGGACCTTCGACCATGCATCCCGAAAGCGGTCCGACGCTGACAGAAGCTGTGCCTCGGTGAAAGCAGTAGACAAAGCCAGGCCTCCCAAGCTCTGCCGCCTTTTCACTGAAGTAGGGGTGGGAATGTCGGCGCCCCTAGATGTGATGATGGCTTTTGGCAAAGGAGGAGCGCTGCTTCTTGCACGGCTCACTGCCGTGGTGGGCACGATTTCTTCGTCCTCCTCCTCCGAATCAGAGTCCACTCCCAGGAACGGCGCATTCACTTCGATGGCAGCGGCCATAGGAGGTGTACCTTGCCCGGTCGCACGCGGCCACGGGTAACACTACCTGTGCCTTCGTCTTACCCTACGGAAAGGTTTATGTTGTGAGAAAAGATCAGGATTTTGTGTCCGCGCCTCGATGCTCATCCTGTAAGTGTCACAACAATGCAAAGGCAGAGAGCATGATAAAAAGGATACGATGTATTGATGAAGCCCTTATTTCTTCTGTGTAGGAGGAGGGTTTAGGCTTTTTTGGTCGCCTCATCTTACGGAGAGCGACGACGGCGAGACGCGCGTTGGCTGCCGTTGCGAATAGATATGGGCCAGTACGCCGACTATAGTTGCTAGCATGAAAAATAAAGCACACAGGGACAATACGACCCATACATATTTATCAGGCACGTCATGCTGCAAGCCAAGCGCCAAAACTTTGGCGGGAAAGCAGGTTTGGTATAAAAATCCTCGTGGAGGGAGGAGGTTGGACCCCTGACGTTCCATAAAGCAATTTCTTTATTACTACCGACGAAAAAGTTTGCGAGGCTCCATGGCTATCATCGATCATTTGCTTCTCCTTCATTGCTGCGGTGGTTCATTAAAAGGCACTATACGGCAACATCACACCAATTTTTCAAGTCATGCGTGGGACAAACAATGTCCCCTACATCAAGTGTTCATATCCTTCTCTGTTCGACACCTGAGCATAATTAGGCTGTTTTCCTGTCATAACGCTTCCTATCTTTCTCTAGATGCCCTTTCCCGATCGCACATCTGTCTAGCCTGTGCATCATGCAGTCTACTTATTCATAAATGTATTATTTAAAAAGTCATCATTTGGAGACATGTCCACCTTCATATCCCTAATCGTCAACAATGAGAATCTGCCATGTCATTCTAGAACTTCGGCTTTCATTTCCATCCATTTCAGACTCAAAAAAGGTGCCATTGTGTTTCAATTGCACTCGTACGTAGCTGTTTCCATATTGAAACCCTGTCCCCAAAGTCATCGCTGATTCCAACCCCGTAGCCACAAATCTGTCAACTCCATGCATTGTCTCCTGCCTTCCTTCGTTGCGCGACATACTTGGCCCCCTAAAACTCTCCTCTGGCCTACCGAATCAGAGTCGGACTCGTCTGCCATTCCAAAGTCTTCGCCTCTAGAAGAGCCTCCGCAATTTTCACCGCTTTGGCATTACCCTTTATGTTTACTAGTCGCTCTGCCGCCGGGGGGCTTGCCTCCCGAGTAAATTCCACTTTTGCCCCGCTTTTCTTCTCAATCGCGATGACATTAATGCCCGCCTTTCCGATCAAAAAGCTCACGGCCTTGTTGGGGACGAGCACGTGCACGACTTGGTACGCCCCCCTCCCATTCTCCGTCACCTCGGATCCTGACCACTCCTCCTCCACGCTCTCGCTTCCTTTGGCATCCCAGGCGAAGCTGTTCTCTCGCATCTCCCGCTCCTGCTCCTTTACCCTAGCCATCATCATCATCACGTCCCCCGCCCCCCATCCGTCCCCTTTCTCTTCCTCTCCGCCGTTCCCTCCTTTCTCCACCCTCGTGTCGCCCCCCCCCAAAAAAAACGTGCTTCTCCCCGTGAACCATCCCCCTGGATCCGCTTGGGAGGGAAGAAGGAGCGAGGAGGCCGACAAAAGATCGTCGGGAGAGTTGAACTGCCGGTACTGCCGCGTGCCGAACGGTTGGTCGCTAAACGAGTCAAACGACAAGGGGGTTTGACCTTCCCCCATGTCTCCGCCCGCCGCCGTTACAGGGGGGAATGAAGGCACAGAGACGCTATGGCTGCTGTTGCGGGTAACCATCGATCCCAGGTGTTTGCCAGAGGGAAAGGCACGCTCTCGATCGCCAGGAACGGGCTTCAGGCTGCTCCTCTCCTCCCCTCCCTTCTCGCCCAGGGAGGCTTTCGCGACAAACACCGGTGCTTGTCCCGAGAGGTGGGAACGAGGGGGGACAAAGAAGGGAGCCGGCGAGCGAGAGGGCGACAGGGCAGCAAGCCCCAGGCGC